TTATGCTATAGACAACCTGGAATACAACTTTGCAAGAGACTGGAATCCGTAACTTAGTACTGTTGTGGACGAAAAAAATTGGCTCAAGGATGGTTTAAAATTTACCAAAAAAATGATTCATGGGCCATTCATTTCAACTATGCCTAGAGCTGATTAAACATTTCCTATTTTTTGATATTGATAGTTTTATGGTCCATCCCTGTTGACAGTATTCAACAGTGTTCATGCCATAAAGCTTACTTTGACAGTTGATTAACTTTGTGTTCATTCTATTACAGAGATACTTGGAGCAGTTTGCAGCAAATCTTGATGGCTTGATCACACACCTACAGGATTGTTTGAACAAGAACACAATAGGTACACAACAGCTGTGTTGACAGTATTTTATTTATAGGTGTCACATGTTTGATGGGTTGATTGACACATGTGCTTGTATGTCCATGTTAATTTACAAATAATAAAATTAATTAAGTATCATTTTCAGATGGTCCTGGTGTTTGGTTCAAATCCATGGCTGACTTTGAGCCTGCAGAAACATACTTGAAGGTACAGTGGTTACATGTTAAGACTGAGTTATAGGTTATTGTTGGAGTCCCAACCATGTGATCTTATTTTGATATCTTGTGCTCTGATTTTTCAGGTGGCTACAGCAGCCCTCAGTAAAATTTGTATTGAGTTGGAAAATAACCGAGTGAGTGGCTGAAAGACAATATTATTATTGATAATAATTTTTATTTGGTTATATTAAAAATAATAAAGCATGGACAGACAGATGGATAGACCGACTGTTTGATTGAAAAACTAACACATCAAAGCATATTCCAGTGATGTTATCTGTCTTTTTCATTTTTTGAGTAATAATTTAATATTTTGTTTTTATTTTGTAACTCTAGGAAACAGCAGAAGAAAAACTTATAGTGAATGATCTGAAGAGTGTCTACCACTATGTGAAGAGTGCTGGGGTATGTGGAAGAAAATGTTTTTGCTTGTCTTTTGCTAGTATCCTTTGAAACTACAGTACTGGCCAGGAAAATTTGTTGAAAAAATGACAAAATGCGGGGGGATGGGTTATACAATCATGTGGGTTAAAAACTCTTTTGTTAGTCCTGTATGTTAGTCCTAGCTCATCCAAATGTATATAGATCCCTACTTTTTATTTTAATGTTTAACAGTGACTGTTGTAAATAGATCCTTAATTTTAATTTTTAATTTTTAATGCTATAAATAGTTCCTTAATCTTAACTTTTAGGTGTCCCCAAGTAGTAAAGGGTTTCGCCCTCGGATATTTTACCTAGACCTGTTAATAAAGTTGTTGTTGGTGGTGGTATCTGATGGATCAAGGGGATTATTTAGTACACATCTCTCACTGGTGACTTCAGGTGGCACAATGTGTGTTAAATACAAATTAAGACTCTCCCTTCAATTTTATAGGGACTTCTTCAAAGAGTGCAGGCTGCAGTAGAAACATTCTTATTCTGGGATGAGGAAGTTAGAGCTTATGAACAGAGGGAGGTTTGTGACCAACATTTAATTTCTTCATACATTACCAATAGCTTGGTGACCTGGTGAGATTGAGAAAATCATCAACTGAGGGAAACCGCTAAATTTTAATTCTCAGAACAGAACTATGTAGTGGTTGTTGTTAGCTGCAGGTTACCACATCGGATTCTGATTTTCAGAGTGGTCCAGAGTTAATGCTGGCTAGGCTCATTGTGTTGTGTTGTAGTGCAAGGTACTCTCACTCCGTATTTGCTTCTCTTTACCCGAGTACCAACAAATTTTCAGAGAATCCTGACAAGATGCTGTGTCGTCAGCTGCAGTAAACTGGTAATATTGATGCTCCAGTCCGTTCATGCTATGAATACCAGAGTTAAGCAGTTGCATAATAAGCAGTCTACTTGTAGCCTTCTAGTCACACATAAAAAAAAACGTCACTTATTAAATAGTGGTCAGTGAATGGCTGTGAGCTTGATCTCTCAATGGCCAGGTCAGAGTAATGAGATGTCAGTTTGATGTTCATGAGGAGCTCAAAGGCTGGCCTTTGCATTCATGGGAACTGTGATGACATCAGTCGTAACTCTGTAAAAGGAATGTATCATTTGATAAATTGCAGAAGCCATCTTCAGAAGACAGTGCAGATAATAGCAGTGATCAAACACAGAAGTGGGCTGTGGTGAGTACATGTAGTATCTTTGCCTTCAATTCTAAATCTTTTACACACTGAAATAAAGTTTATGTATGCACATGTACAAATCAAGATAGAAACTAAACAGTTACTCAAGTTTCATGCTTAAAGCGATCTTCAGACTGTGCCCTTAGCGGTGGTTGAAACAAAATTTAAACTGATTCGTGGAGGGCATGTGGAGCAATCCTGTATGTATGCACATGTAATATGTTATTAAGCAAAACTGGACTCACTTTCACAAAGGAGAGAAATCTGGATTGTGTACTAGATAATTTGCCAAAACTTGCCCTGGCTTGAAATCAACTGTCATTATGGAGAGTGATCATCACTATTATTAATTACAGGTTTGAAGCACCTGTCTGCACCTATAAACCAGACTTTTGATTCTCCTCTGTATTTAATTTTAGACCTACCTCGCTTTGATTTCAGGCAAATTCTAACTGTGCAGATGCCAAAACAAGCCTTGAATTCCTTTGCAAAGACTTGTCATCTGAGCTAGCACACTTTGACTGGAGAAAAGAAGTAGAATTACGTGAAATATTGACTGAATACTCAGCACTCAGATCGGAACACTTTGAAAAGGTATTGAAAGAATACATTAGCATTTATTTGAACACAATCATTATCTGCAGACAACCTGATATACTTACTATAGAGCAGTTTTCAATTGTCATAAAACCAAAACCAATGATTAGAAATACTTACCAATTAGACTACTCAGCCAATCTCAAACCACAGTAAAACCAGAACCAATTGAAAGTAATTTTGCCTGACTACGTTCAACACTAAAATTTAGATAACCACTCTCTCCTAGAAAGTTATTACAAAAACTACTGTTATACTAAGAAACAAAGAATAAAAAGAATACCAAATTCATGCATGTTCATAAAACATTCTTGAAAGACTTTTGCCTTATAATAGTTCTCTTCATGTGTAGGTCCAGAGTAAATGGTTTGGTGTCAAACTCATGGTGGAAGCACCAATAGCTGCAGAGGTGCGAGCAATCAAGTGTATGGAGGAGTCCTGATGAAAGAAAATGTAAAATGATAAAACCCAACTGACTTGTCTGGCATCCAGATTGATCTGAGTCCTCTTCACAAGTTCCATAATGGCAGAAGGGAATAAATAATAATAATAATAATTATTATAAAAATTATAATTGTAATAATATATGCAGTGCTCTTTTATCTAAAATAATTATAAATGTAAGTGTAAAAAAGCCCAAATGCAATAGAATAGCTAGCTAGGAACAGACATTTATTATGTTAAGTAATGGTAGAGTGTTAAAGCAAACCAAACTTCAAATGAAATGACCTTGTTTTTAGTTCTTCCTTCCCAAATGGAGAAAAATAAAAATACTAGCCTGAGGTAATTTCCTGTGTCTGATCTTGCAGAATAAGAACTTGCAAATGATTTTTAGCATTTAAATCAACTTCCAGAATTCTTAGTTTGGTAAACTACTGTTGTTTTACAATGCAGAGCCATGCTTTGTCAATAAACATGGCTCTTGAATAGAACATAATCTTCTTTGTTATAACTGATAAAAGTAAAAAATATTGTCATGGTTTGTTATGATTTTTACTGTCATAGGTTTTTAGACCTTTTCCAAGCATTCAGTTAGCAGGGCTGTAGCTAGAAGAAACTTTTGACTGAGGTAATGTCCATGAAAACGTTCTGACTGAGGCAATGTCCAAGGTTAAATTCTCTTCCTTGGTATTTAGGGTGTTTCTGATGACTGTAAACAACAAAGAACAAAATGACTGAGGCAAGTGCCTTGGTTTGCCTGATACAAGCTACAGCCCTGGTTAGTTGGTTAACATAGGCTGTATGTTTTTATCCTAACACAGCCCGTGTGTCCATTCATAGGGGTAAGGAGTGAGAGAGAAGCTAAATACTCGGCAAGTTAGTTGTTGATACATGAAGTAGTTAAGAAATTGGGAATTATTTGTACCTACACTGTACAGTTTCAAATGAATTAAATGACCCGAATTTATATTAAATAATATATTTACTAGTACTGGTATTTTACATAATTTTAATTATTACACATAAAAATAAATACATGCTGCAGTTTTTCACAGTTCCATTAATTTAGTTTTTTAATCCATTGCTTGTTTTTAGATAGTTTGAAGTACTTTAAATTAGCTATAAAACTTAAAACAAGATATCATAGTTTAATTTTTGTAGTATGAATTTATATTAATTTTGTTAGAAAATTAATTGTACACTGCATTGTACAAGTGTAAATTCATCAACTGTCTTTTTTTTGCATTTCCCTGTACTTAGCAAGTCCATCACCAAATTAATCTGGAATGTATTGAATTCCAAGTCATCCCAGGGCAGGAAAAAACCTAGGTTAGATTGCCCGGGGCAAGTAAATTTTGCTCTTGGGCAAGTGAAAATGGAAGTTTAGTGGTCCGGTGGGCAAGTGAAATTAACCTCAGTAGTCTTGTTAGTTGATAAGGCATAAACATTGTGCACCTATTGGGCAAATAATATTTTAGTGGAGGCAACTTAAGACTGAAGTGAACTGGCCCACTGGATTTCAATTTTTTTTTTCCTGCCCTGCATCTCATGATGATAATCATATCAACAAACAAGCAATAATTGCACGCTAATTGCTTTTTTGCTGCGTGATTGGCTGAGCAGTACAGAAAATCAAGAGAGAGGTGGCAAATAGTAAATTTATTTATCAGCATACCATGTGGCGTAAATATCACCATAGGCTCACAAAGTTTCATAATGAGAAATAAAAGCCCACAAAACATTAGCATCAATTTTTGTGATAACTAGTTATGATAAAGTGCTGCAACCCTGATATAATAAGCAATTCCTCATGGAACTGGCTATTCCTTACAACACTGACTGGCCATTTAAGTGTCATAAAATGACTGACACAAATCCCCATTTACAGTGCTGAAAACATGCACATGATCCCAGCAAGAGAATTGCAATAAAATTACTCTTAGTAACTTTGTAGCCAGATATAAGAAGCACTGTCTTACTCCTACAATCAGAGTCTCAAAGATGATGCAGTGTTCCAGTTAATTTTTTTTTTTATTTAAGCAGGTTGTTACATAATAGGCCAATTTCGATAATAATAATTATATTGGAAATTCTAACTTGGCTCTGAGGCTTGGGGGAATAACACAAAAGAAATAAATTTTTCATCCCTCACCCTTGATGTGATTTGTTTTGGTTAATTCCTCCAAGCCTGGGAGCCAAGTCAAAATTTGTTGATTCTTAGAAATGTACTGGTAGCCTAAGCATTGCCCATTCAGTGCAGGGCGTGGCAGCATTTGGGGAAGGTCACAGGGAAGTGTCCCTCTGTGGAGAGGAGTCTGGAGGTGTGCCTCCCATGTAGCAAATTGCTGTGAGTTTGACGATTCACTGATGGCAGTCCTTTTGAGCAAAGCCTTACTGTTTGAGTATCATAAGCAGAGAATAACACCATAGCATTGGCAGAATGTGATGATTCTGTTGGGCAACAAAATTTAATGTGATATAACAAAAGTATATATTTTCATTACAACCAAAACAGTACACACAATCAGGAAGTCCATCAGCCTTTCAGCAGTTCTCTTGTTTGGGGTGTTTTGCAACTCTTTACTGCTCTAATGAGTAAACTCCAAACAGAGCACACCGTCAGCCATCTTTGTTAGACCTGGATTTTTCATAAGGTACATGTAAATACTTGGAACCTTAAAAACAAGCCACCAGGTTGTGCAGCCCTATCTTTTATTTTCATTCTTAATGTAACCCATGAGCCCCAAATCTGTGAGCTGTGTCAAAACAATGTCACTCCACCCAGCATTAGCTGCTGGGCTGGCTGGGCTGGGATGCATTATTGAAAAAATTTCAACTTCACAGTCAATTAAAGCTTTGCGAGCTCTTTCCTCTGCAAACTTTCCAACTCCCACAACAATCTTAACATCAGTTAACTTCACAACATCTACAAGAGATTTATCACAAAGTTTGAGCAGTCGTTGTCTTTCACCTTTGGGCAGTTGAGGAGGAGTAATGTTTTTGCCGCTTGATGTCATGAACACAAGGGGACAATAGTTATGAATGAAACATTGGTGGAAAAAATTCTCAGGTGATTTGCTGTGTTCTTTGAAGAAACCCCAAAGCCGACCTCCACTGACTTCAGTTCTTGTACAGTCCAAGCCATGAATAAGTCTTTTTGGATGTTCTCTTTTGGGTTTATTGACACATCCTTTAATTTTAAGCCAGTCCTTGACGTGTGCTGTATCTCCAAAAGGCACCTATTAAAAAAAAAAACAGAATTAAGAAGTCCCTCCTGTCTGTCAGCAACTGGAATCTACAAGTCAGCATGCATTCATCCCTTCAGATAACAATTCCATTAAGGAGATGTTGTTTTCTGTAGCCTATAAACATTCACCCACCCCCCCAAAAAAATCACTTTTTAACATGTGACCTATGTGACTAACAAGATCTAAAGCAGGGGTGGAGGGAGACAAGTGAAAGGTGAGGGGTGGGAAGTGGAGGGTGAGAGATGGGAAGT